GCGACGCGTCGCTTCAGGCGGCCATGGCCTCGCTGACTGCCCTGCAGGAACTTGCCACACAGGACCTCGAGTGCAGGCGGGCGAGGCTGCTGGAGTTTTTCGGGGAGCGGCTCTCGGGGAAGCCAGCGGGCCGCTGCTGCGACGTGTGCCAGCGGCGTGCGTAGACATCCCAGAACAGGCTGGCCGACGACCTGGATGTATGGCATGACATTTGGCTCCCAGGTTCCTGCGATTCGACCTGGGTGGTCAATCTGAGGATTGCCGCGAGGTGCCAGCTTGGCGCAGTGAGTAAACAGGCATTCACCGCCGTGGCCTTCTGTTGGAGTTTCTCAGGGTGCCGCTGATCCGCAACAACCCAGACCGCTCATCCGCTGCTGAGGAGGGAGAGAATCCCAGCTGACAGCAGCACGCCACATGCTAAGGAGGTAGCGCACTGCGCCGAGGAGATTCCTATGGAATGTACCTCGGAGGAGGAAGACGCCGAGGGAAAACAGGGGGCGCCGTACGCGAGGGGGCTGGAGCACTACGCCGAGGAGATCCGGAAGCCCCCCTCTCCGAACCGCCGGAACATGCACCAACAAAGCAACCCTTCAAAATGCGGGGGGGGGGCCAGCGGGACAGGGTATCGACTACAGAATTGGTTTACCCCAAAATCGATCCGTTCGTAGAATATGCGGGAAGTGTGTACCAGATTCGTAGATCTACGAACATCATACGTACGCTTTCGCAGATTCAGCGAGAAGATCAAACTTGGGATCAGTCAATGCTGTAGTCATCGCCCACTCGATTTCGGGTGCCGCTGGGAGGTTTCTCGTCGCCGCGGCTGGGTCTGCCCCCCGAGGCCTGCCAGGAGAGCGTTTCGTTGCATTCCCAGGCGATAATCAGGAGGGGAAAAACACACACAGACACAATGGATCGTCGATTCCCCAGGAAATATTGGGAAATATGGGAAGTGGGGGGGAAGACAAGAAAACCCAGAATATTGTTTGTCCCAGGGCCCCTTCAGATAAGAGGCGTTGCGGGGGTGCGGGGGGGGGAGGCGGATGGCGGGGGGCCAGGGGGGGGCAGTAACACGTCACGTTTCGCACCTGCGCCGCCCAGGGATGTCTAAGGGCTTTTTTGTGGTTGACCCCAGCAGGTTTACATGCATGGACGGGGGGGGACCTGAACCTGAAGCAAGCCGCAAATCTAGGCCTTCTAGATGGGGTCGTAGTACATGGTGTCGGAGAATCGCGCCGCATCGCCGATGCTGCTCGATGCGGAGCCCGATTTGCTTCACGTCGACGTCGCGGATGTATCGCCGACGTCGCCAGTGCATGGCCGATGCATCGCCGATGTATCGGCGATGCGGCGAGATCTTCCGACCCCATCTACCCGGACCCCATTTAGGAGGCCTCTAGCAAACGATTTGCACATGCGGAAAACACGCAAGTCGAAAGGCACTTGCACGCTAGCATTCGTTTGAAGAGGGCCGAGGGGGTGGGTGGTGGGTGGGTGGGGTGGGAGGGGGGGGGCGAACGCCATGCAAGTAAACTTGCTCGAATTAGATCAAGAACAGGCAACACAGGCTCTAAAAATAACCAAAGCCCACGCGGAGGTCAGCACGAGTCGTGACGTTGCCTGGGGGGGGGCGCGGGGGCGCGGCCAGGGCTGGCCACGGCCGCCATCGCAGATGGTAAAAACAGCATGCTTTCAAGGGCGCCCACCGCCCACAAACACAGGGAAAGCCAGCTGCATGCGGCCGACTCGTGGACCCCCTCGCTTGGTATCCCCCCCCCAGTCTGGCCCGCGGAGACGGCCTCGACAAGGTGGAGTCGCCGGATTCCTGTGTCTCTGTCGCCCTCCGCGCGCGCCCGAGCGGGCGCGCGCGCGCGTCGCGCCCGCGCTGGTTGGCGCTTGGTGGAGAAGATCGAGGGGGGTACTCAGGGGGAGGGGGCAAGGCTTCTCGGAAGCACCCATGCCTGTAGATGTAGACGTAAGACCCTGTTTGTAGATGTAAGGCCGGCGCTGGCGCCTTCTAAGATGCAGCCTCCTTGTAAGAAGCCTTCCCCCCTCCCCCGTACGCCCTTGTCTTGGCATCGGTCGGACGTGTGCAGTTTTTTCTTGCGAGGACCAGACATACGCACGAAACCCACAGAGTGCACGGGGAATGGACCTCCGAGTGATGGCGAGTTGTGCGCGCCGCCGGTCTTCGGCGCTCCGAATTCGACAGCATGGGCTGCCCTGGTGGGGAGACCGCCCACTGGGCCACCTCGCCGAGCCTTGCCCGGGCCCCATCCTGTGTCCAGGGCTATGATGCTCCAACCTACTTTAGCTTTGATCGCCAAGAAGAATTTCGAGCGCCCAAAACGTACCGAAATTCCAGGGTTTTCACGTGTCGGGCCCTGGGAGACACTCGCCCGACACCGTTTCGACACTGTTTCGACACTCTTTTGACACTCTTCCGGGTGCTCGAAGTTATTTCTGGGATGCGGTCTTCAAGTGGGATGGGAACAACATAAGCCCAGGGCCGGTATTGTGTGTATACCGCATTCTCCCTGGCGGTGGAGGCGTGCGTACCGATCCTGGGCCCAGGATCCGAGGATGCCAAAGGTGCCTTCGGCAGCAGATCACGGGAGCCTGGTACACCCTCAAGTCGGGCACGTCCTTCTGCAGGAGGAGTATTCAAAGACAGTCAAACAAAAAGTCAGGGGACGATTTCTCTAGTAGTTTTTTGTTTGACATGTTTCAGTATGTTTGGGGTATTTCTAATTTTTCGTCGAAAATCTGCCCTGTAGGGGGACATGCCCGACCTAGGTATACCCTCTCAATTCCGTCTCTAGCGTCTGTTCGCGCCTTGGAGTCGATGAGGTGGCGCCGACTTAGCGTCGGCTAGCGTCGATTTAGCCTCGATTAGCGTCGACCTTCGCGTCGATTCGCAAGAGCCGACAAGGTGGTATGGGAGGCTCCCATGAGTTGCCACCGAAGGTGCCCCTGGCCCAAGGTGCCCCCGCTCCACATTGTGGGGCCTCTTGGGCCCTCAGGGCCTCGTGGGGGGTGCTCTGGGGGCCGCGGGGGCCTCCGTGGAAATCCTGGGGACACGTGGGGCCAGGGTTGAGTCGGGCACGTCCTCTACAGGAGGAATATTCCAAAATAGCCAAACAATAGTCTGGGGACGACTTTGGGAGCATTTTTTGACCACTTGGGGGTACGTTTTTCTAGTAATCATATACGTATATATGTGTACATGCATGCATGTGTGTGGGGCACGAGTGGTGTGTATATACATATATGGATATAAAATGGGTGTACACATGTATACATATACATATACAAAATACAGATGGCAATGCGTGCATGTGATTCTTGTCTGAGAGTTTCTGTTGAGAAGGGGGCCGCTCGTTTCGACGCCCGCAGTCGATTCTGCTCAAACTGTAACCGGTGCCAGGCACCTGGGGACAGCATCCCCGTCCCGCATGGTGTGGCCTTCCCGGCGCGCTATGCTGATTGGGTGATCGGCACGGTGTCGCAGACGCTGGTGGGCTGGTCTACGCGGTGCCCAGCGTGCTCCGCCTGTCCCCAGCCGCTGGCGTGCCCCGCCTGCCCGCAGGGCCCGCCGGTGCACGTCCATCCACCCGCCTGCGACCTCCCCCGCGGTCTCAGTGGCGGCTCCCTCGCCGCCAGCCGCGAGCGCGGAACCCGCGGAAAGCTCGCCTGGTGACTGGCGTGTCGGCTGGATCGCACTGCTGCTGCTGGGCGTCAACCTCGTGCTGTTCGTCTCGCAGGTGCTGAGGTTCGTGACTGCTTTTTGGTCCATCGTCCTCGCGCTGTTCTTCACGATGTCGGTGGTGCCGGCTCCGTTGGGTCTCCGACAGTGGCCGTGGGCACAGTGCGCTGGCGCGCCGTTGTGGCATCAACGGCGCGTGCGGGGCTGGGTGATTCATCATCCGAATGGTCCGCCCTGTTCGCCGCTTCGCGTGGTCATCTCGACACCGGACGGCGACATCTACAAAGAGCTCGACGACCTTATTGACGGGTCGCTGTCGGCGGCGCGGTTCGAGGGCGATCGCCGGACGCGGCCCGCCTGCCTGGGTGCCGCCGACCGGTGCCGCTTCCGTCGGGCCCTGACGCCTGCCGAGGAGTGTGCGATCCAGAACGAGTTGGAAGCGGTTTGGCGGGCCGCCCGGCGCAGCGCCGCAAACGAACGGGGGCGGCCGCGGCGTGGTCGGCCGAGGGTGGCGCAGCAGACCGGAGGAACCTTCCGCGGCGGGCGCCCGCCCTTGGGAGGAGGCCGGATCTGCCCCGACGCCGCTGCGCGACGCAGGGCTTGCCAGCAAACGCCGGAGATGCTGGATGCCATGTCGGGGCTCGAGGTGGCGGCGGCGCTCGGGGCGCGCGGCGCGGAAGACGCTGGCGGCGGGCTTGCGCTGCGCGCTTGCTCGCAATTCGCCCCCGCGCGGGGCGAAGCCGCCGGGGCGGGGCGTGCGCCAGCGGCTGCGCGGGCGCGCGCGTGCCCGAACCGCTTCCCGCGGCGTCTTGAACGCGTTGTCGGCGAACGGACGGACGCCGCTCATGGTGGCGGCCGCCCAGGGCAACGTGGACTTCACGGAGGCGACCCTCTGCGAACCGGCGAGACATGGAAGCGGGCGGAGGAGGAGGAGGAGGAGGAGGAGGAGGAGGAGGAGGAGGAGGAGGAGGAGGAGGAGGAGGAGGAGGAGGAGGAGGAGGGAGGAGGGGGAGGAGAGGAGGAGGAGGAGGAGGGAGGAGGAGGAGGAGGAGGAGGAGGAGGAGGAGGAGGAGGGAGGAGGAGGAGGAGGAGGAGGAGGAGGAGGGAGGGAGGAGGAGGAGGAGGAGGTTGAGGAGGAGGAGGAGGAGAAGGAGGAGGAGAAGGAGGAGGAGGAGGAGGGGGAGGTGAAGGAGGAGGAGGTGGAGGTGGATGAATAGGAGGAGGACGAGGGGGAAGGGGAAATGGGAGAGGATCATTCAGAGGAGGCGGGAGGAACTTCGACGATGGGCGGGAG